TTTTGATTAAGTTAAATACTATTTAGAAACAATTTATTATATTGTGTTTAATAAAAAAAATGAAATATATGGTATAACAGATTTTCGTATTTTAGTCCAATATTGAACAAATTCTTGTCTTGTTTTCGAACTATTTAGTCTTTTCTTGTTTTCGAACTCACCCACCAAAGATACTAAAAATCTAAGTATCTTTGAATCCAATCGGATGTATAGGTAACATAGCCACCGTAGTTTTTGCTGTGATAATTAATAACAATGTACAAAACTGTTTAATATAAATTAAAAACATTTATTCCGACTAAACTTAGTACTGAAATAATTACGGTATACAAAACATTGACGTCAGCGAGCCATTCAACATGATCAGCGCTGGCAAGGCACCAATGCGCGTATAAAATTCCTGTTGAACACTTCAAAGCAGCTGACCCTAAGGCCCTTGATTCACTACACAGTATCCTGGTCAGCATTTGGGAGGAGGAGGAGTAGTTAATGCCGCAGGAGTTTAAAGACGCAATGATTGACACCCATTACAATCGACATGATTGACACCCATTACAATCGACATGATTGACACCCATTACAATCGACATGATTGACACCCATTACAAAGACAAATAGAATAAGGCTGACTGAGGTAACTATCGCGGACTATCACTAGCTTCGATTGCAGGCAAGATTATGGCACGCATTATTCTCAACCGTCTGCTTGGTAATGTCTCGGAAGCCATACTGCCGGAGCACAATCGACATGATCTTCACAACGAGACAGATACAAGAAATGTGCATTGAACAAATCACGAACTTCCTTGTTATATTAATACACCTAACAAAGGCCTTCGATACTGTCAACAGAGATGCACTTTGAGTCATCCTAGCACGACTTGGTTACACTAAAAATGTCGTCAAGATGATCCGACTTTTCCATGACGGAATGACGGGATTCTTTCTCTACAACGTGTATGTCTCTTAGCCATTCAACGTTTCTAACGGCGTGAATCAGGGTTTGCGTTCTCGCCCCAGTATTATTCAACCTCTTCTTCACATGTATTCTGAACCATGCTACACGTGATCTTCAGAAATGAGTGTATATAACTTACAGAATGGATGGCTCTCTCCAAGACTTTTGCCGACTGAATGTCAGGTCCAAAACAATGGGGAAACTCATTCTTGAAGCACTTTTCGCGGATGACTGTGCTCTCATGGCACACACGAAAGCAAATCTCCAGATCATCGTTACTCACTCCGCAGTAGCCTCTCGACTCTTCGGACTCACTATCAGTCTGAACAAAACTGAGGTACTTCACCAACTTGTCCCCGGCACCATAGCTCGTCCCACCCCATTGTGTGTATTGAAGACACCCAGATGAAAGAGGTCGATCACATCAAGTACCTTGGAAGCATCATATTTTCAGATGGATCGCTAGACAAAAAGATAACGGCAGCGTGAATCAATCGCTACAACACGAGAGCCGTGCGCTGAAGTATCGACGTTAGATGACAAGAGAGAATGGCAAACCTAGAAATGCTGGACAGCGTAGGTTTAACCAGTATCGAAGCGATGGCCATGAAGACCCAACTTCGGTGGAAAGGTTATGTCATCCGTATTGAGTAGTTTCAAATTCCAGGTCAGATTTTATATGGGGTTCTATCTAGTTGGGACAGAAAAAAAATTAATTCAAAGACTGCATCAAGGACAGCCTGAGATGCTCATTGATATCTGTGAAATACATTGAGCCCTGCGCCAAGGATAGATCAGGTTGGCGTGCAACTGTTACCAATGGTTGAAAAACCTTCGAAGATGCCAGTAGCACGTAAATCGCCGACACCAGAGAACGCAGGAAGGCCTCAACGTTAAGAACCAACCCATGCCTCCAGTGCACATATTGCTCCGGAACATGTGCATCTCGTACCGGACTCATCAGCTACATTAGGACCCATCTACGAAGATCAGCGAAGAATTGACATCAGCAAGCCCTGATGGTCAACCAAAAATCCTTTTATGTTCTAATGATATGTCTGTCCATGTTTAGGTCAAGTTATTCTTCTTTTATTCATTTCCTGTCTCTCTCTTTATCTCTCTCTCTCTCTGTCTGTTTCGTGATCTGTCTGTCCGTCTCTTTCTCCGAATGATTGGATTTTAAAACGTGTCATAACTGTTGACCCTCTAGTGTGGTACACATTTTTCTAGCGAATGAAAATGGGCCATCAAGAATGTTTGAAAATGAACTACAAATAATTAAAGGCAAGGTTCATGTACGGAACATCTGAGTAACCGTTTTCAATATAAATCAAGAAAAGTGTCTGTAACTGAACATACGGCAGCTGTTGCGATTAAGATTTATGTGACAACCATACAGTTTCATTTAAAATAGTTTAAGATGCAGTTTAAGTATAATCACAATCATGCGTAAAAACGATGTGAAAATGCAAACTGAAATTAAGTGATAGTAAAATTTGGATGCATTGGCTATCCAAACACTAGACTGCTAGCCTGCACCATAAAGCACCTCCCCTTTGAATGCAGAAATGAAAACGAATACATTGAAACTCTGAGGTATTAAAGTTTATTGTTTAATGATTTTACGTACTGAATCCTGTTAGAGTGTTATTTCATGTTAGTGCCCCACCACAACATTGTACACGACGGTATCATTCAATCAGAGCGCTTTTGTGTTAACAATATATTCGTTTTTGCGTGAAAGATACACTACTTTAACAATATACATAATTTCAGATATTCCATGTACAATCTAAATTGTAAACTTATCTATCCTAAAAATATATAATTTTTGATATTCCTTTAATCGCATTTACACAGCAAATGAAGTTCCCGCCTTAATAAAAACATATAATAAAATGGAAATCAATGGGTTTTTTTGAATAAATAAAAGGAACAATGTCTCATATGATTTGAAAATATTTATATTGCAATATGTTGCAATATATTACTTTAATAGTAACCAATTTAAGTATATCTAGTCAAGAAAGTAAATATAATTTATATATGATACACAAAGATCAATATTTAAAACAGAAATACAGCAAGACGATTGACAGTGTTATTATAAAGTGCATACACAACCAAACGTCTAAATTTTAAACTGTACGGAAAGCAAGTGAGCATAGAACTGCAGGTATAAAGATGAATTAAATTGCAATTTGTATTTAGGAAGTCCGTACAAATGGTTTATTTAGATGACAAGTGAATAAAGTCTATACAGCAGGTAAGAGCAATCAATCATTTTAAGCTAGTTAAACTTATTCATATTTTTTTATTGGGACTGCATCAGAATTCCCATACCAAATGGAAAATATTAGTGTTTAAGGACAATGAGTGACATTCACCGCATAAAGTAGTAGCTCATATAAATTATCTATTTTGTTTATGTTTTTAACATGTCCGTCATCAACCTTCATGATACGTTCTTTAGGAGAGAGAGATAAAGATTTTAATATTTTCACGCAGTCCAGAATTCAGTCTTTACATAAAATATGCACAAATATAAACCAAAGCAAAGATGCATTAAATGCATCCGGATAATCCCTTCATAGGAGCGATGAATGAAAAATGATACGATATATCATGCTACATGCATTTTTGAACAAACGAGTATAGTTTATTCCCATATGAAGTGGTCATCAGCTGAAATAGAAACTAATCCTGCTATGCAAGGTAATTGTATAGGTTGATCTCAATGTAATATCAAAGATGTGCTCTATCTAATGAAACAGAAAGGTCATATAAACAATTAGAGCCGAAGATGTATCCAGGACAAGACCAAAAAGAGAAGGTCATAGATGTCGTAAGTTTCATACGCACATGCAAGTTTAAAACTGTATTAGCTTTACACAGTTTCATGCCTGGGTTGGTACTCTTAAATATGTTTGGTCTGATGATTAGTGCATTTTTTCCTGGTATCACTTATTAATATCAAATATGACAAAACCATCGATTAATCATTCTCAAGACTAAAATATCCCGATTGTTTGCAGTATTTTGCTCTTGACGTTTGATCTTTATGAAATATATCCGGTTCAATTATTGGTATAACTGTGTCCGTTTAGTTTGCATGCCTAGATATAAATATACTTTTGAACGTCAATCATAGTAAATGCACGGATTCTGCCTTGTGCTTTTTCTTATTATAATGAAACGAAACGTTATATGAATATATTCATGTTGTTTATATTCTATGACGCAAGGATAATTCAATGACTTGTGGGTGATTCATATAAATGTAAAATTTGTCTTCCATGTTGGAGCATGAACGCTTCTTCTAATGGGCTTGAATGTATACAGTCTTCTTATGGATTATGCTCCTGTGAGGGAAACAATGTATGGCTTCTTAAAATTATATTTCTAATTGAGCATGGTTGGGAATAATGTGCACGTATTAGCACGTTTCTACTCTTACTTAAAAAAAATCAGTAGTCCGTATTATTCTTCCAGCAAATTATAGAATTTGAGTGTAATTTTACATACGCCATACGCTGTCTTATCGGTTTAAATAATATCATACCTTAGATGTTGAATCTGTCTATACTATAAAACATTAAATCAAATGATGAACATGTTAAGAAAAACATCCATTTCCTAAGAAGGACCAGCTTTTTCCGATTTTTAAATCTAAGCCGAGTTCTTCAAGTCGTCTTTTTGCTTTAAATCAGGTGATTTTATGACTAAATATTTTCACTATGTAAAATGTTGTACATTGGTTTGAATTAATACATTTTAACATTGATGAGAATACACCACATAAAGACGAATTATAGTTTAAACAGTCCTGGAATCCTGAGTTCCCCCACCGTTAGACAGATAACAGAAATGAACTATATTCTAGAAGATCCTGAAACAAAATATATGTTTAAGTACGATACACGATTCCAGTGTAGTTTGCTTTGAAACTTATAGGATCAATAATTAAACTAGCTGGAAATAAGGTATCAATTATTTTCCCACTTGTTATTGGAATCTTATCCAATTGACAATTAGTTACGACGTCTCCTGTGGCCTAGTGGTTAGAGCATCCGCCTTATATGCGGGAGGTCGCGAGTTCGAACCCAGGCCGAGTCATATCAAGGACTGATACAAATAGTAATGGCAGCTACCTTGATCGGCTCTCAGCATTAAAAGATCAGTGCAAGGATTGGTACACCTGGTGTCATGATAATGTGACTGGGTGGAATATAATACTACATGACTGCTATTCATGTTCCAGTGCTAGACAGCACGATAAATTGTAATGATGCAGCTAATTATAACAATGCGACTGAGAGATTGTAAAAGTTACGTTATAAATCGAAATTACACACACACACACACACACACACAATCACACACACACACATCTCAGCGCTTACGCATAGATATTTTGATATTTATTCACTGGAATTAATGAAGATAATAATATACATAATCCACAGAGCACAAAATGAGAAATTAAAGGAAACAATATAGATTTCTACCAACGTAAAGGATGCATGAAACGAGACTGTAAAATTATCAACAATATCTTCTATTATGCATTACACAATTAAAAAACTCTGAGATTTGAAGCATATGTAAGACAAGTGAACATCAAACATGCGATATACAGACATAAAGTCAACACTATTGTCGAATCTTGCAAACGATGTACAAGTTGTAAATACTAGTTATCACTTCAATCAAATATTACATATATCGACTACAACAGCTATCAGCATTTAGAGAACGTTACATTACAAAATTATTAATTGTTGTGGTAAACAGGGTAAATTTGTCATGTATAAACTAAGTAGTACAAAGAGAAAGCAAACGAACAACACTCAATAATGCATTATGTTTCACTAGAAAAAGACAGAAGAGTATATATTGCATAACATAATTATATCTTACATAATGCATACTAGTACCTAACTTTAAAAACCGTTGGGGAATTTTGCATAAACATGAAATAAAAAAATGCAATTTTGCAAATTTACACACAAATTATACGAAACAATGAAAATGAATAGGTCATATTAGCTGTAAATCAGTTTGGAAAATAATACTGACAAAGTTGTGTCATGTTCTTGAATGTTGAAACGAATGCTACCTTTCGTAAAGTTAAAAAACACGGAGTTTCATCAGTTTTGATTAGTCTGGAATGGAATCCTGAAATAGGAAGCGAAATAGGTATTGTAGTTTTCGACAAGAAAGAATTAAATTAAACAAATAATTAATACTCTTTTGCAATACATTTTTGACGTTTTCCATATCTGAACTTGTTGTTGAGAAAAGAATTGTTCTAATAATAATAATAATACTCGCACATTGATTATTAGATGGTTTGAAACTATTCTTCCGATCACCAAGTTCCTATGTCATCTATCATAATTGTCATCTGAACGGAATAATTTCATTTGGTTTCACATTTCGATGGAGAATTGTGCAAATATCTTTGGTGATAGCTAATAAGAATGTTTTGTAAATACCTTATAACAATTGAAATCTTCCAGCAGAGTTTGTTGATAAATAAGGGTACGTAATTTGATATTTTTTTTCCTCTTGATCTTATTTCATATAGTGAATAAGGTACCAAATATTGGGCTGGTATGGATTTGAGCTTTCTTCAGTTGACACTTTGGGGTATCAATATTTAAATGTGTTTCTTAGAAATATATACACTCGGTATCCAAAGAAATGAAATTATCAGTGTGATATAGCAAGGATATCTAAGAATTTTTATCAACGCCGTCAAAATAAAACCCTGGAAACGATCATGTTGCTATTTTTGTTAAAATTCAAGATATACGTACTTAATAACTTTGACCATTTTCTGAGCTTATTCCATGAACGGAATGTACCGGAAATTTAAAAAAGTGATTGTTATTACGGGAACACAATGGCGTGAATATTTCAAACAATATTCAGTCAATTATTATTTCAAAAAATCGAACGACAGATGACTTAAATTGTGCCATCCTAATAAAGAGAATATATGTATATAATAATAAATTTATTGAAGTATTGAAATCTACATGATTTACATTTCGGCAACTGATGTCAAACACAAACATCATGGAGGTGATATACAGACCAAGATATAACGATCTTCTGCATTTTAGTAGTATCAGTGAACGGATGATATAACTGCTGATCTGACGTGTTATTGTTCGTGACGAAGAAATACCTTAACAATTAATAGAGTATATGGAACCTAATCTTTAAAGGGAATAAACATTTATAAGATTATCGTTTTTGTTTGCTATCAAAAGCTATGGTACTTTTATTTTGCTACATAACCATTTATATAATCCTCATTTATCATTTACATTTAAGTCTTCTGTCATCAAAATACATTTGACCTAAAAATTAAAAAAGACACGCACAAGTTCAAACTTTTATCATAAGTCAGCGCATCAATTATTATTTTTTTCGTTTGCATGTATGATATGCATACGCCTTTAAAACAAAATCAAGCTAACCGCATAATTCTTTCGTATTATCCGAAACGATACAGAAAATAAATAGGTGATAAGAACAATACGTGTACACAGCATTACGGACGATTGTACTTTGTTTAATATCGTTATTTTAAATTGAATTTATATAGGTTGATTTACGTTTTTAGGTCCTTAATATTATGTTTCCATGGAATTATAAGAATCGTATCCTCTTTGTTATCACATGGAGCAGAATAAAAGAAATTACATTACCTTTAATATGCATGCAGCGAAATGCTATTATAGATATTTCACAAATTCTTGAATATAGATAACTAACAAAAGCAAACTGGATTGTGCAATCAGTATATTTTTTAATTTCTTTCGCAATATTAAACTTTAAGAAATCAATTTCACTAGACCCCATATTACATCAAACACTGAGATATATAACGCAAAAGCTTATCAAAAGTACTCATATGAACGGATTATATCTTGTTGACAATGACCATGTCCTATTCTTCATGTTGGAATATGTGCCTATCGCAAATTGTTCTGTATCAAAGAGATAATATTTTTAGTTCTTCATTTAAAAGATTCAAAACATAACCTAGTTCTATCAATTGTAAAGACATAACAGATGGTATGACACCTACAAAGAGGCTGATATAAAATTATTCATTAAGGCATAATCACTATTAAAAATAGAAAGTACCATACAAGTGGTTGCATAATAAGTTTGCTTATGTTTTTCTTCGTTGTGTACCTTCTTTTCATTTCCCCTCTCATCTAGAACACATAAAAGGTGATTATTTGCTTGAAAGTATGAAGCAATGCATAGTAGACTGGACAACAATTCCTGATACTTTGTTGAAATTCCTGCTGTTATTTTAAGAAGATAAATATAAATACGCTTGCTTGTTTAATAACTCAATCATTTGACATATTGCTTGTATACCTCAATGGTGCTTTCGCATCTGAAACAGCTGTACATATTGTTTCCTTGATTTTGATATGGGTGAAGCTTTTCGTAGACGTGGAACCATATTGCGCTGAAAAGGAAAGACAAGTCGCTCAAATTATTTTTCTGCGTATTGTGCTTATGTGTTTTTTTTCTATATTTCCGTTACTACATAGTAATAAAAACGATCTTTGCTCAATTTTGTGACTTTGCAATGACTCTAAGCTAGTATTCTACTTTTCAGCAGGTATAGTTAATTATCAAACTTAGTTGAGCTGATTATCAAACTTGAACAGGTACATTCAAACTATGTATACTTTAAGGAACTAGATATTTCGCAGCAATAGAGATACGACATCAATAACTAAATAAAGCTTGAACGAAATAATACATTTAGATCTGACAATACGAATGCGAATAAAATTAATTTAACGACAAAGATAATATTAATTATTGGACAAAGGAAATTGAAAATAATATTTACAGAGAACCTCGTTTCTACACTTTGTAAATAATAGACCCCGAAACAGCTAGACATTCAAAAAAATTTTTATCAGAAGGAAACAATCAAATAGGCAGCTTAACTTGAAAGGACAATGACAAGTTGAATAGATTATGGGATGCAACAATATCCACACTTATAGCAATTATTATGCTATTCTTTTTTGCATTACCTCTTGATGGATGTTACAAACGCAGATAACACAAGAATTTAAATGCTCACAAAATGTTACCTCTTACTTTCGTATTATTGAATGAAAACATTGAAGCTACAGCTAAACCTTTAACATTTCATGCTGTATCTACCGCTTATTTTCCCGGAACAATCAGACCACCATCTATTTACCTGTCCATCCTTGGTTTGATATATATATATATATATATATATATATATATATATATATATATATATATATATATATATATATATATATATTAACTCGCGGTACATGTTTTATGAGAAAATGTTTGTAAATATTATTCATTGATAGATGTTTAGAATATTTATATTTACTATTTGCCTCCGATACTGGAGTCTGTTAAGAGCGAAATATTACATAGCCACTTCAAATTATATATATATATATATATATATATATATATATATATATATATATATATATATATATATATATATATATATATATATATATATATATATATATATATCATAAATTTGTTATTATGCAGAATTACCCATTTCCGGCTTCTCTGTCTTCACTTCCGTTGTCTGTAATTAATATATTATTTATTATTATTATTATTATTATTATTATTATTATTAGTAGTAGTAGTAGTAGTAGTAGTAGTAGTAGTAGTAGTAGTATTAGTAGTAGTTGTTGTTGTAGCATTTACTATTATTTTTAATATTACTTTTTTATTTATTATTTTTATTATTTTATTATTATTATATTTAAACTGTCGGACAGGTGGGCATACCAATATATGATTACAAAGTAGTAAAATGTTTATTGATAACGTGCAAGATCGTAATTTTATTTGTTGAAATCATGGACATGACTAGATAGATAGATAGATAGATAGATAGATAGATAGATAGATAGATAGATAGATAGATAGATAGATAGATAGATAGATAGATAGATAGATAGATAGATGGATGGATGGATGGATGGATGGATGGATGGATGGATGGATGGATGGATGGATGGATGGATGGATGGATAGACATAAATAGAACGATA